ATTGGACAAATTCTTGGAGATGCCAAGCCTGGGTCCGCTTCATCAAAGACAACAAAAAATACACCAGAAGTTGATTCTGGATTACAGCAAGATGAAGATAGAATCCAAAGCACGAATGCTTCATCAACTTTGGCAGCAGGGGAGGATGTTAGAAGGTTTAGTGAGCAGGGTGAACATGCCAGATCTGTGCCATCCAAGAACTTAGAGGTAATCAGTCTACACATTATTCTCCTTAGTGTCATGTATACCAATTTAATAAAAAGTAGTGCACATAGTCAAACTTCTAGCAGAACATTTGCCAAGGTTTGTTCCATTGCACATAAATAGAATACAAGTTTTGCTTTAGTGGAAGTCAATGTAATTAACTCGATCAGAAATCTGATTGTCCGATTAGGCTAGATGACGATTAATTTCAGTAGGAATTTTGGTTTGCATGCGAAGTTGGGCCTTGGTAGTATCAGGCCAGCCCATTCCCCATAGGGTTTAGTCACCCAGAAGCCATCACAAATCAAAACTAACAAGTGACCATCTGACCATCAAACTTTATGATTGCTTATACTATGCACTATATAGTATATAGATCTTGGTATATACAGTATCGATTAGCCTCGCTTAATCAACCTGATCGACCTGATCAGTGCCTTGGTGATCAGGGTCAATCAAACGATCAGATAACATTGGTAGAAGTATGTACACATAAACACAACTCTCACGATCTCATCCGGTGTAACTTAGTCTGAGAACCACATCATGACCTTGAGTCCTAGAGAAAGTATATGCTTCAATTTTGAAAAACTAGAACTATGCTTAGAGCACAAAATAGAGAATTCATTGGTGAATTCATTTGTTGATAGTTAAACTCTGGAGTAGGAAAGTGATTGTAAAAGGGAAAAAAATATTACTTCAAGTAAATTGAGTTGTTACACCCCTGTTCCTTTACAACCCTTTTTGCATGTGCCTCCGAATACTTCTCTATTAAGTTTCAGAAAAATTATCTGGGTTTTGGGCTATAGAATGATTAATATGATGTCCATAAGAAGTTTAATCCTCATGCATTGTTAGATCTTTGATAATTTTGGACAGTTTGTTTAACATCAAGTGAGGAATCTAGAGTAAAGTCTAGGTGTTGCCGTGTCAGAACTCAGAGAAAGATGGTATTAGAGACCCTTGCAATATTGTTCCATTCTAGATGATGGTAGTCTGCTTTTTGGTATTTTGCATATAAGTGTCAGTGCACCTTCTGGTTCGTCTTTCATTTGTGTTTTACTGCTCGTACTTTTTTTTTTTTGCTTGTAACAAGCGAAAATAATTAACTGGTATTTATTTTGCACCACATCGACTCTCGCTTTTTTTATTCCTTATTTTGTTTTAGTATAGTATTACAGCAGATTGCTTTCTCAACTTACTTTGTTTTTACTGTTTTGAATAATTGCCAGGAGTGTGAGCCATCTTTAGAGAATCATTCGACTGGTAAAACTTCCATTGAGGATATTTCAATGGAGCATAGGAAATTAGCAGTTGACTTGAATCATTTCCATCAGGAGGTATGTGAAAACTTCTCTTGGTGTATTATTTCTTCAAACACAAATTGCATTCTTACAAGTTTTTAGACGACTGGATATATCCCTGGGTACCTGCTGAAAAAAAATTATGGCTTTTCTTACTTGACAAAAAGCAATATAGTTAGTTGTGTATTCAATTGCCGCATGTCTGGAAGGTTTGTAATTATTTGAGCCTATATCAGGGTGCTGAGATATCGATATATGTATCAGAAATATAAAGTGCTTGTTGTATATGTAACATGCATACCTGTGTGTATACACACAACTAAGGACTATGAAATTTTACAGTATAGACTTGGCATGATACAGATAACAAGTTTATAGACATTTCTTGTGTTGCATATGCAGTTGGAGAGACTGAAAAATGAGAATCTTTCTCCTCTTCTTCCCCTGGACATCAATCTAATTGACCCATCACTCAGTGGTTTGGAGAGGGCATTATCACAGCTTGATATGGTATGCATGTCTCCCCCTTTCTGTTGTACCATTAAACATGAACTGGCATGGCATTTACCTTATTCTTGCTAATATGGCACTTTCTAGGCAAATGAACATTTAAGGAGCATTTTTCCTTCATTTAAAGAGCTTCCTGGTTCTGGCAATGCCTTGGAAAGAGTACTTGCTTTGGAACTCGAACTAGCAGAAGCACTCCAAGCAAAGAAGAAAACAGACATCCTTTTCCAGAGGTAGCTGCTACATTCAGTCATTTTTGTCTCTTCTTTCATGTTTGCTGTTCTGTGGCAAGGCGTATTTTTATGGTTGCTAGCTAAACAAATGCCTGATTGCCCGTGCATATGCAAATGGGTAAGGATGGATTATCCAGGTCTATATTGTTCAAAACCGAGAATGTGGTGCATCAAACATGTCCTTTGGCCTTCGCTCTTTTTTGTTACAAAAGCACTTGATAGCGTTTATACACATAAATTATGAAATTAATTCGTCCATATATATATATATATATATATATATATATATATATATATATATATATATATATATATATACAGGTCACTTCAAATGTTTTAGCTTTTCCATGTTAAATTGTGATTTTATAAAGCCAAATAAACAAAAGAATGACACATAGAAGGTGCATTATGTTATATTAAGTTAAGCTCAGGAAATTTAATGGTAAGTGGTGATGTGGCAGATTGACCACCAGCACTACATCAGAAGACACCTTAAAAAAAAAAGAAAAGGTTAGAGAGGTTCGAATAATAAAAAAAATGAGCCTTTGTCCTGTGCTTACCATAGTACACCTAAAAAAAATCATACTATTTATTTAGGAACTCCTGAATTTAGAGAAAATGTGCCTTTCAATTTTCTTGCTGGATCTACATTATACTAGAGTTTTCGTGAAAACAAAACTAGCTAGAGAAAAGGAGAAGTGAAATTTAATTGCATTAGTCGATTCCTATTCAACCGAAGGCTGATCCCTTGCTTTGTTCTCTCATCAGTTCATTCCTGAAGCAACATAATGATGAAGCAGCAGTATTCCAGAGCTTCAGGGACATCAATGAACTGATACAGGATACGATTGAGCTGAAGAGAAGGCAAGTGGCAGTAGAAAGTGAGCTGAAAGACATGCAGGGCAGGTACTCAGAGCTCAGTGTGCAGTTTGCTGAAGTTGAGGGAGAAAGGCAGAAGCTTGAGATGAACCTGAAGAACCGATCACCCATGAGATCATAGCAAAAACATAGAGGAAAAAATGAACAGAAAAATCAAGATCTCGCGGAGTTCGTAAAACGGACTTATTCCGCGACAGCACGGGAATTACTTTTTTTGTAATGTAAATATCAGTAGAATCTCAGCATGTGGAATATCAGTTGTAGAGTTGTGTGTGTGTCATATACATAAAATGTAACATCTTGTACAAGCCCCTTCATGTTCAGAAAACATTCTTGTTAATCTAACTGTTATTATATGCCAAAAAACCAGCAGCCTTTTCCAGAGTGTATTCACATCTGTTGTTGACTGTATCGCACAGTTTTTTTAGGGTGTTTTCAGCAATAGACTTGTTGTACAGACCTTGTTTTGCTGTTGTTAATTTAATGGCTAATACAAGAAAGAAGCTTCTAATTATTTATTTACCTTCCATGTATGTTCTGATGTGAAAAAGAAACATCCTAATGCAATACTGGCATCTTTGACATGTGTATAGTTTCTGTGAGCATGATTCTGCCAATTTCTTTTGTCAACCAGTCTTGGTATCAAAATCAGTAGTTTAATACGATGAATTATACTACTACAGTTGTCAATCTTGATGATTATTATCAACCATTGACAAGTCTACAGTGTAGACAACCCGAGAGCTTCCATTTTTGACCACACAGGTTTCAAGGCAAGCCAGTGACTGAACTTCTGAAGCAATCATGTGTAAAGCATCAGGCATCACAGATGCGTTTCATACTGGTAATCCGTACTTTCTTTTGATGCTGTTAGTGATAATATACTATCCAAAGCATACGTCATCTGCTTACATATCACAATATTCTGATGCGTACAAAATACCCCCTTGGGTTATTAATAGACGAAGCTATAAAGTTTTTTTAGGTAGATCTAAAGCCACATTACACAATCGAATTATGTTGGATAATGTCATCATCAAGAATAGACCTGGTTGTCGGTGCTCCGACGCTATTCACATTTGAACATACGTTTTAACTATTCGTATTATTAAAACATATATATACAAATATGTAAAAATATAAGTGTAAAGTTACAATAAAATAAATAATAATTACATATTTTTTTAAAAAAAATAAGAGGCATAATCAAATCTATATCCAGAAGTTGACGGCGTCATCTTTTAGAACCAGGCGTCATCTTTTAGAACCAGACGTAGTATTTTAAAGATGTTACATAGATGAAAAGAAGATGACAGATTCTAGACAATGGCAGTAGGTAAAGAGTGGAATTTCAGAATGAAAAAGGGAAAAGCATTGCTGATGCATGATGCAAAGTTGCATTCAGAGATCTGGTGCTAACTTCGGATGGGGACACAATAATCGATACCATATTTTGTCAAAGATTCAGGCTATGAAACTTTGACACGCCAAAGGAAAGTAAACAGATACTCATATACATATCATTTCCAGTGGAACAAAGAGATTTAATATTTGTTAGATAGAAAAAGTGCAGGTCAGAATTTGCCTTTTTCCAGGTTGTGGAAAGAGCTTCAATTGGATAATACCGGTCTCAGCATGCAGCTCACAACAATGGAAGTTATATTTACTTGAGAAAGTTTCAACAACTTCTGCGTTTTCGAGAAAAAAGGAAGTTTCAAGTTTCAACAACTCAGAACATAAACTTATCAGCACATTTATTAGTTTTTATATGAAGTGTCACATCTAAAACAGTTTACAAACGAGGATTAACTGATTGAAAGCACATCTATCCATCAAGAAGTGGGAAAGAAAATGCTGAGCTTTACCAATGGAATGACAATGAAAAAGGTTAATATATTTGGCAGTGCTGATGGAGATAGCACTGTTGTCTTGAGAACTGAAGAAACCAGCATGGTTTTCTCTATCTTATGTGATGTATTACAGAGTTGAATTACACACAGATTACATATAAATATGTACATTGCCGTTTGAATTGATTTCTGCAGCTCATTACTCACATCCAAACCATACACAGATAATGATCATTTTCACTTAAGGTGATAGCCTCTACCGTTGACTTGATCAGATGTTGGTAGAAGCACATCTACTCAACAAAAGTAAACACATAACAAGTTATATGTTGAGCACCTGACAACTGACTAATTCAGCGGCTGCAAGATTTTTCGACACGATGACTTTCCACAAATTAGTTTCCTGTTCTGAAGAAAGTTGTTGATTTTGGCATGTTGGACCATTTCCAGGGGCTGACAACTCCACAGGCTTCAGAACATCGGTTTGCATTATATTGATCTTGCTATCTACATCTTTGATGATCAAATTGAGCTTGCCAAGAAATCCTGCAAGTAAGTATGGACATTCCGACTCTGCAAAGTCACCCACTGGTACCTGGCCAATGGCAACCTTCCAAGCATCCTCCTGAGGATCATAAATCTTGATCTTACCTCTATCAGAAGAAGTTGATGGCTCCAAAGCATACAAGTCCCCATCTATGACAGCACTTAACTTCGTACCAGCCTGCCTCGCTGGCCAGCCCTCGCCCATTCCTACAGGCATTTCCGCCCATGAATTTGTCTCCGGATCAAAGATCTCCCCACCAACATCAACAAAGAATGGCCAGGAATACAGACTTTGAGGAACATAAAGCTTGCCTCCAAATGAGGTCATTCCTGTCGCAATGGGCTTCAGCAGCTCAGCCAAGAAGGCAGTTGGTAGAGCTTGCGCTTTCGAGAACGGGATGTCAGGCACCTCCACCCAAATTCCTGTCCTTGGGTCAAACACCTCGGCGGATTGGAGCGGAGCTAACCCGTTCTTGCCTTTGCTGACACCACCAACAACATACAGCTTGTTGTTCAGCAGGCTAGCCTTGCAGAATGCGCGCCCGGTGCTCATCGAGCTAACCTCCTGCCACGCATTGACAAAAGGATCATACCTCCATACACATTTCATCGCCGAGCCTCTAGAGAATCCACCTAAAACATAGATGCACCCGTTGACTGTCCCAATTGCACAACCGCAGAACGGAAGCCTATCCAATGAATCCCTTTGGCCAAGCCAGCCTCTAATAACATCAGAGACCCTGATGCCGGCGCTCAACAAATCCCCTAACCACAACCCAGGGATGCCCCTCTTGCATTCTCCTCCATGGCTGATCCCCGGCATCAGTGGCAGCCTCTGCCATTGGCCACAAACCGGATCGAATGCATTCCACACTAGCTTCCCATCATCTGACTTGGTAAGCATGTACAGCCATTCCTCACTCACACCCAGCTCCTTCCTCACCCGGTACAGCTCCACGCCAGTGATCGCAGCCTTCCAGCTCCTCGAAACCATCTTTGCATTCAGATAACCCATCCGGGGCATCCTTGCGAGGATCTGCAGCGAGATCTCATCCGGGAGCCCCGGGATCAGCCCGGGGTGGTCGTAGCCACCGGACAGAGGCGGCGCCGACATCCGCAGCTTCTTGGAGGAATCTGCCTTTGAAGCTTCACCATGCTCCCATGGCTGGTTCTTGCTGTTGGGGGAGCTCAAAAGGGCCCCCATTTTGAGCACTTCTCCTTTCTATCTGCAAATTCCCAAAGAGAACAGTAATCTCAGCATGGTGTTAAAGCTCACAACTTCCTTCTCTAACCTGTGGAGAAATCAATATTTCGCAACATGAATAGCAAGATAATATGAAAGGGAAACTGGGTACGTCAAATTCAGAAGATACCACGAAAAAAAAATCCCACTTTATCCACGAAAGCGGCGGCAATGGATGGATGATTGGGTACAAGAGGAGACGAGATTGGGAGGAGGAAGGAGATGGGGATTAATCAAGAACAGCCCAAGTGTACTACAGGTTCAACTGGATGCGACAATATCGTCCAGGTTTAACGTCGTTTGCATCAAACAATAACATCCAATTGCAATTGAATTAGCATCGAGATCTCTCTCTTTGCTCCTAATCACCACCCCAAGATTCGATTCCGAACAAACCCCAGTAGGCGGTTCGTCAGAAGAATCTTCCGAACATCAAAGAACACCACCTCCTCACCCAACAAAAAAAAAATAAAGATGCAATTTTTGGCCATAAAATCCCAAGAAAATCGCACCGGGCGAGGCCGCATTTACCAACCAAAGTGATGCTTCTACCTTGCAAGATAAGATGGTGCTGCAGTAGTGGTGCGGCTGCGGCAAGCTTTCCCATTCGAATGAGCTGAGCTACGAGCCTGGGATGGAGGGCGTGTATTTATCTTCTCTTATACATGTTTTTTTAATCTTAACTAATTAAAATATTCGTAATTTCCCTTTCATCACACTCCGATTCGTCTGTGTTATTCCGTTGTCCGCATCGCGTGCACCTCCTCTCCGCTTCTCTGTCAACGCGCGTCCGCTCTGAACATCCCACAACCAATCACAAATCTAACCCAAAAAACTAAAATCCCAATTCAATCGGAATCATCCGAAAATAAATCCAATCCAATCGGAATCACAGAATAAATCACACATAAGGTGAGAGAAGAGAAGATGTGGAAATCACAAAATAAATCATATCAGATAAGAGGTGAGAGGAGAGGGAGGGGTGAAAGGGAGGACGCCGCCGCACCTCCTTGCCGGACCTCCTCCTCGCCGCTGTGCCGCCGGGAAGCCGTTGCGTTGTGTAGCCGCAGCGCCGGGGAGGAGGAGGAGCGGGCGGGCTGAGAAGTGTGGAGCCGCAGCGCCGGGTTCCTCGCGTGTTGAGGGAGCTGTGGAGTAGTGTGGATAAGGGGGAGCTGTGGTTGCTTTGGGTCGGTTTTGGCTCCGGTTTTTTTTTCTGGGTAATTTAGAACCATACCATTATAATTTTTTAAAGTTTAAGATATGCCATCGGTATCTCAATGATATGTAGGACTCATATTAGTCAATGACATGTGGGTCAGGATGGCATATCTTAAATTTTACAAAATTATAATGGCATGGTTATAATTTTCCATTTTTTATAGGAATCTTTTTTTTAAAGAAAGGACACTGTACGATAAGTTAAAAACTAGGAACTACAAATATATTATGTCGTTTTTTAAAAAAAAATATATTATCTTAACTATATAATTAAAAAAATCCATAATTTTCTGATTGTCACCTTTTCTTTTCGGTTTGTAAGTCCGAGAGTCCGTACGTCATCCTCCCCCGTTCAAGAAAAATCGAACAAAAACAGGAAGGGCGAATACAAGTTCAACACAAAAGATACAGGTGGATTTGATTTGGACTCGAAAACGAATAAAACCAACCCCATAATTATAACAAAGATTCCACGGATCTAACCTGGCGGCGGCCCTCACCAGCGAGGCTCTCAGGTGTCGAGGTGTTGAGAGAGCATCGCCCAAGACACCGGGAGGCGATTCCCCGCAGCAGCGACTCCCACGGGCAGTGATGTCGAGGAAGCAGGCAGCGGCAGCAACTTCGAGAGGCAGCCGCTAAAACTCAGCCGCCTCCGCACCCTCGAGCCTCCCCCGCCGCCGGATCCTTCGCCCACCACCCTCGCCGCCACCCTCGAGCCTCTCCTGACGCCGGATCCGTCGCCCACCAGTCCCGCCGCTACCCGCGCACCTTGGCTATCGCCGAGAGGTCACCGGATCCGCCCCTCATGTCACCGTCGACAGCGGATCCGCGTGAGAGGTAGGTGAAGAGACGGCAGGATCCAAGTGCCCGTGGTGGATCCACGCGAGCAGCAACAATGGCTTGGAGCCAGTGGTTGATCTGGTCGGCGACAACTCGGGTAGAGGAGGGAGACAGATGGATTAAAGCTGGATCGCCGCCATCCACTCTCTTGCGTTGCCAGAGATTGGATTAGGGAGAGTAGGGGAGAAAGGGGATTTCATCGGCTGGCGATTTCATTGGAGAATAGGGTTTTCGGAACCCCCCTCGGCCGGTGATTTCATCGACGCGGGACCGATCCGTGCCGTCCAACAGATCGGACGGCTCAAATCGGCCCCACTCGGGCCGGCACCGTTGTTGGCCCACCTAATCATTGGGCCATGGAAGACAACTGGACTGCGCTTAGTTCGCCCCGCGTCGGGCTATCGCTGGTAGATGAGCCGCGTGGGTGCTAAACGGGACGGGCCAATTTTTTTGTCTAGTTACGGAAGTAATGGGCCCAAATAAGATTGATCTATCTATCTATACCTATACTGATTGGGCACTTCCTAGGAGCTCCCACGTTAATTAGAAAAATCCAACCGTTTATTAGATTAGTTATATAATTAGAACCGTAGATTAAAATGATTTCAACGTGATAAAAGGATTCCACATCGTGGGTCCTAGGCCAAACTGAATAGCCTCTTTAACTATGTGGGCCCTTTTCAATGTCTATAACTGCAGCACACTCAGATGGGAATTAAACAACCATCGGTCTATCTCCAAGCGCATCATATACGGAACCCTAACGTCAATGGAATTTCTGTCATACTCGTCGATGGTATTTCTTAGATTTGGGTAGTTGTCAATGGCATATTTCTTAGATTTTCTCAAAAAAATTATGTAATTTTTAATTTTAAAAATAAAAAAAAATTGTTCCAAAATAATTTTACTTCTATTCATTTTGATCCATGTATAAAAGTAAATTTATTTTGGGATGAAGGTAGTATAGTACTGATTTTTTTAAGATAATGAGTATAGTACTGATTAATTCCATAAAACTATCATCGTTAATGTGGTAGAACATGACTATGGCATTAAATTAGAAACATATGGTGAAAAGGTGAGACCACAACGTGGCAAATAGATTTTACTTGACCCTTAAGCATTTGCAATGCAAAATGATCTCATGACACAGTCTAGCGAGAGAGCATGTGTTAAGACCGACACTTTTCAATATAGCAACCACGACAACAGAATTGTTTGCCTAATATGATTTCTAGAGAATGACTTTGCGAGCCAAGCTACTCCCTCCGTCCCATAATATAAGAGATTTTGAGTTTTTGCTTGCACTGTTTAACCACTCGTCTTATTAAAAAAAAAATTGAAATTATTATTTATTTTTTTACTTACTTTATTATCTACAGTAATTTAAGCACAACTTTTTGTTTTTTATATTTGCACAATTTTTTTAATAAGACGAGTGGTTAAATAATGTAAAAAAAACTCAAAATTCCCTGTATTATAGGACGGAGGGAGTATTTTATAAGACGTGGCTCATGTACCTTCGTCATGGCGCGTATTTCCCTGTGAGGCCACTCTCCTAATCGAGGTGGTAGCTCGAGTCCAATGTAAAAACACGAGGGCCCTAGCTATATCATCATGTCATCGTAAATATCCTTTAGCACATCTTAGTTGTTAAGTTATTAAAGTTTGGACTAGAAATCTGTAATATTCATGCTAAACTTAGCATGGGAGCTAAGTATTTTAGCTTTAGCATGCATGAAGAACTCATGCTAGCATTTTCTCCCACGTTTAATACCATCTTAGCACCTAGGGATGCACATGCATTCTCTAATGGATGCTTGACCATTTCTCTTTTTTTTTCTCTTTATAAACCAAAAAATCGTGTTCCATATTTTTTTCCTAATTTTTCAGCCACATGAAGTGATCCACTCGAAGTGACCGTTTTGTCCCTAAGACAGTGGGGCCCACCTCATAGGATACTTGTCCTGGCTCAACCCCAAATTATATTTCTACAATTGGGTTTTCTATCGTACTAGTAGAAAATATCAAAACTGAACAGTACTCCGCCAAGAATCTAAGGCACCATTCGAATTAGCTCTTGAGCTGAACTTTTTAACAGCACGGGAAACGAAACAAATCATTGTACATAATTAACGAATTATTAATAATTATAAATTTAAAAATGGATTTTATTTGATTTTTTAGAAAAACTTTGATAGAAAATGTTTTTTTTAAAAAAATTACTCAACTTGCGAAGTGTGTAAAAAACGAGGATAACTCTCATTCAATAAGTTTATCCAAGTTGCTAAAATTTGCTAGTGTTAGAGAAAATGACGTTGCAACTCAATTTGCAGGAAAAAAATATATGCTAAGATAATTTTAACTATGTACGAATAAGTAAAATGTGATGTTTTTATCCCCGTGAAAAAAAAGCAAAAATGGATATATGGAGCTAGCTATTTCATGCTTAAAACTGTATTTCTTTTTCTTACATGATCGTAGCACACATACGCACCACCAGTCCACCACTCCATCTATAAACTATACCCGTGCTAGGATTTGCAATTTCGGTTGCCGCCAAAATTTCTAAAATTTCGGTGGTTGCCGAACATTTGAAAATTTTGCTATTTTCAGGTTTTTCTGACCGAAGTTATTTCAATATTTAACATATTTTGACTGAATCTGAACAAAATTTAACCAAATTTTATTTGTCTAAAAACCAAAAATTTTAGGGAGATTTGTGCTTGCTGGTGGGAGCCGAAATCACCGAATTTCGAACTAAAATTTCAAACCATGACCCGCGCACCCATAAATGTAATTTGCTTAACACAGGTTCAAAAATAGACAGAGAGCTACGATACATTTTTTTTCCAGTAATTAAGTTCAGCTATACTTCCTCCGTTTCATATTATAAAACTTTCTAGCATAACATCTATATGAATGTGGGCAATGATAGAAAGTCTTATAACCTGAAACGGAGGTAGTATATATATATATATATATATATATTTATGTGACAAGTTTGCACATGAGTACGTGATATGTCGTCTTCTACTACTATGTTTGTAAATTTGTCCCAAAGATTGGGCTGGAATTAAAGAAAAAATTACGGCATGTTGCTAAGCATATGGGTACATGATTAAGCAGGTCGTCGTCGTCGTCTCGATCGGAATAAAACAAGTCCAGTGTGTACTGAAAGTCAAGCACAAAACTTTGGGATTAAGGATCTAACTAGCTAGCTAGGCTTCTTCACCAATAAAAACTAATTAAAAGATATGCACAATTTAATTACCTGGATTCTAGAACTAGAAAGTCAAGAAGTGACAGAGGCAAATACACGTATGTACCTTCGTCATCCTAATGACGTTATCATGCAGAAGGGTGATATTTTTGTTTTTAAAAAAGGTGATATGGAACAATAATAATTAATAAGCATTGGTTAGTTATCTTGCTGGGCCTGCTAAAACTAACTAAATCAATAAACTTGTGAATATAGCCAATTTAGCCCTTCAAATGGAAGGCAAATATGATTAATTGCGCATCACATTTCATCAATCACTGTCTTTATTAATTTCACCTGGAATTCCCTCTGTCTCAAAAGCATTTATAACATGTGAGAATATGACTAATAATTAAACTAATAATATCAATATAAGTGATGCAGTTGTATTAGTATTTTGAAAATATTTTTATATGATGTTTATCATATCGCTTGCTTTCCATAGTCCGCCTTTCATCTTATAAGCCACTACCAATGAAAATTTAATTTAGGAGTTGATTTTAGATTTTTTTCATCGTAGTTTATTTTTTACATTAGCTTTTAAATCATGAATTATAAAAGTTTTACCTATAAATTATTATTTTTAAGAAACACAGTACAAACGCAAGCGCTCACAACGCGCACACACATAACTTACGCATATGAGCACCTCCAGAAAACTGGGCTGGTATATTTGAGATTGATGTAGTCACCACGGTCGTCTTGCTATCAACAAGTAAGTCATCTACCACTGTAAGAATAATTAGCCTAATTAGCTAAGACTTGGACCTGGGTGGTCTGGTTCCACCAAGGAGCCTAATCAATTGAGTTACGCTCACTTCATCATAAATTATTATTTGGTTGATTATAGTTGTTGATAATATATTACCAAAGAAATTAATAGTCAAAACACAATACTGGAGGTCTTGTCTAAAGCTAATACTGGAGGTCTTATCAAGAAAAAAATAGTATCTCATATTGTACCATAAATAATCAAGCGATCTTAGCTAATTTATTTAACTTTATGTGATACTACTTGCTTTAATTTGGAGACAATAGCTGATATTACAAGTAGGTTCCACATAACCAAAGAACTGAGAAATTGAACCCAATAATTCCGAGGGCTAGCTAAAAAGTTTTGGGTACATTGAAATTCCACAGAAATTTCACGAGAAGCTTTTTGAAAGCTGTTGCAATTTCTGCTGTGTGCAGTGTGCTCCAACCAAACAGGTGATATTTTTGTTCTTGCAGAAGCAATATCTTAGCCTCGTATCGTTTGAAGCACAACCACCTGTAGTTTGGTATGTTGCTGTCACTTGTCCTTCTCAAAAAAAATCCCAATCACACACTGCCCATCAATCAATTAAGTGCCCCAAGTGGCACTCCGTTGATCCTGCCTACTAAGTCCTTTAACCCCATTAGTAAGTTGGCATGACAGAATGGTACAGATCATGTCCACATTGCTGTGACAGAGACCCTTTTTCTAGTTATTTTTCTCTCTTGTCATTTGTTAATGATCTAGTGCCAAATCATTCTCAAATTAAGAGCTTGGTAAGTAAGGTACAGAATTATGTACTGGAAAGATACATCCCAAAGGAATCTAATACCTTTCTCTTTATTTTTTAAAAAAAGAAAAAAGATGATGTCATGGTAAAATTTAGTGAGTTTAGGTATACACACGGACTTTCGATGTTACATAACCAATTTCCTATCTTTCTTTTTCCCGCAAGAGTGCAACTTGAGGACCTCCACACCTGTTGCACACGCACATAAACGCGCGAAAGTGATATACTGCTGAAAACTTCACTATATTCCAATAAGAGTTTAACTGTTTCTAGAAATTCATACATTCCAAAAACACGCTTTAAACATGAATCGTACTGTAATTTAACCGTTGGTGAATACTATAGCAACTAGGCTACAAAGCATTTTCTTACACACTTGTTTTCATTGTGCCGTTTACTGGTTAGGCAAGTCCAACAGAAGCTTTGCAGTGTACTAGTACAAAGATAGTAACCCTTTCAAGCTAGGTGTATGACCTAGATTGAGACTTGATAAGAGCCTTCCAAATGAGATGAGAGTGACAGGAATAATTAGATCACTTATTCTTCATTATAACTTAAAAAGGGAAGACTAGTTGAGGACTTTGTTTGGCTTTATCTCAGTTGGATTACCTGTCTAGGTTGACTTACCAGAATTACAGTCAACCTATCTTATCTGATAAATCCCCAAATCAATGAAGCTGGTTAGATAATGCCAACTCTATAAGCCTCTTTCACAAGTTGGGAATACAAGCAATCATAAGCCAATTAACCACCAGAAAATGAAAAGCAAATATAGGAAAATTGCTTTAAGGGTAAGAACACACTCTTCCTTAAGAGACTGCATGTCAGGGATCGAACTGGAAACATTCTCTGACGCCAGATTTATTTGTCCTTCTGCAAAACTAACTGAAAGTGTGGTTTACAAATTCAAGGTGTCGTATGGACTCTGTCAAAACTTTATCTCCCACGTAATAAGATTAAAACTGCACAATGTCTGTTGGGGAGATAGCTCTGCGTTTTTTTCCCCGAAAACAGTGCTCCAAGCTCCTGTATGGGTGTACAGAGAGTTGTGAAAATTTCCAAAAATGTAGAGTACAATATCATGTATTCCTACTAAAACTCTAATTGGTAACATGAAGATCCGGTTCAGGGAAGAGAACTTGCTCTAGGCGCCTACTCAAGATCGGACTCGAGTGTTCAAGGATAAGCATATTTTTTTTCTTTATTTTGAAAAAGAGAGCATTTGACATGTTGTGAGCCTCTGAAATCAGCTTGGTTTGGTAGCTATGGTTTGTCAGCAAAACCCAGTTCACTTCCACTGGCACTGCTTCAGGACGGTGAGTAGAATATAGTGTTCTCCACTGACGTTTGGAAATCCTGGTACATCAAGTGCACAACTGCTGGTAACTGCCAAATTATTATGATGACATCTTTCTCCACCAAGATGACTGATGTTATAAAACTCTGATGTTAGTTAGTTAGCCACAGCCCACAGCATCTCCAGCTGGATTGGAGAAAAAACATATCAGCATTTATACATAACAGAGAATAATAGTAGTATAAGAATGAATATTTAAGACCTTGCACAAAGTCCTCTCTAATTGGCCAGAAGAGAGGATAAATTCTACTTGTTTACAGTTTACTAGGCAAGTATTTGAATCCTCAGTTACATGTTCATACGATAGAAATTGAAATAGTGTGCAAAAGCAGCACAAAAAAAAAACTGCAATACCTTGGAGACACCATATTGCATGTGTGAATTATCTAGCAAATGCTTTGCTTAGTGCTCATTAAACTACTAACCCAAGGAGACAATTCTGTAAAAGTGTTACGAGAGAATGGTAACTTGTTCTATCACTTTCCCTTCCATTAGATGGATAAATAATCTACAACAAGCTATCTACCATTGTCGATAAATAAAATTTTTGAATAAATATCACAAAATAGCAGGCTTAGAACCACATGTAACACAAATGCCGAAATGGGACAATGGTACAAGATGGTATATTCAGGATTGTGTTCCATATAATTTCGGGTCAGTGGCCCTATAGTGAGGGTTGCAAAATCCATTCTACTTTGGTCGACAAACAAGCATCATGTACAATATTTTACTTGACAAATCAAAACAAATTGAATTGATAATTTAAGTTCAAACATTTATAACAAGTTTAACTCTAGGTTCATAGAGACGCAGACATGACCAGAAGTTAACTATAAATAACTAAAAGCTTCAGAAGTTCAGCTAAACAGCAGCACATCACATCAACATATCTGGTCATTGCAGAGTTGCAAAATGAAGTCCCTGCCTCCTTGGAGCACTTAGCACTCCATCCTTATTTCTTACTTCTTACATGGTATAAGTTGATAGGATCTATATCCCACTTGGATTGTGGGCCTTGTTTGTAGCTCTTAGTGAACCTTGACAAAAGCTGCAAATTCGAGTGGATATAGAAATGTTTGTCTGCCGTTTTAGCATTCAGCTTGTTCCTCTTTGCATTTGTTGGTGTACTCATAAGTATTTCAAATCCTCTCAGCAGACAAACTACCAATTGACTGGGACAGAACACTCTTCACTAATTCCGCAAACTCTAAAGTTTTAGAGCCGTAGTCGTTCACCATACAATTGGCTCCATTGTTGTCGCATCAAGTGTAACAGACAACTGTGCATAGATTCCTTTCTTCATGATGAAAGTAATAGGCTTATGCTCTATGCCGAAAGTTATATGGTAAAAATTATCTGAAAAACTACACTTGGAGGAACTACAAGAAAAACACCAAATTTAAACATAGAGGTCACTATTAAGGTGATCAAAGGTTTTGAAATAATAGTAAATAATGAAAGTGAGCAACAGGGTCCTTTGCTTAATACTTTCATCATGAAGAAAGGAATGCACTGCCAGCTCTAAAACTTGATGCAACAATAATAATGGAGCCAATCGAATAGTCAAACAACTAGAACTCAAACTCTGGAGTTAGCAGAGGTAGCAAAGAGGATATAGTCCCAGCCTATTAGTAGTTCATCTGCCAAGAGGATTTGGGGTATTTATAAGTACATCTACAATGCAAAGAGGAACCAGGTGAATTCTAAAAATGTAGATAAGCTTGTATATATCCTCTCGAATTTGCTTCTTTTGTCAAGGGTCACCGAGAGCAACAAGCAAGGACGACAAACCAAGTGCGATATATATCCTGTCAACTCTAGCATGTGCTACCTCTGTCTGTCCCAAAAAGAGTTCACTTTTCTAAGTGAATATGAACAGTCATTTGTCCACATTTGTGTAGAAAAATGAAGTCTTTTCGGGACAGAGGTAGTACGAAATAAGAAATGAACAATGATTTCTATCTCCCTACACCATGTGTTAACTATGTGCACATACTATGAGTTCACACGAAAAGGATAGGAGTGCTTAGTGACTCAATGCTCCAAGGAGGCAAGGACTTCATTACTGCAAATCTACAATCGCTAGATATGTTCCGTTCTGCCATTTAGCTGAAGCTTTTAGTTGTTTGTAGTTAACTACGATGAATTTGATGTATTCATGTCTGTATCTCTGTGAACAGCGGAGTTAAACTTTTGAACTTAAATTATGATTTCATTTTGTTTTTGGTCTGGCAACTAAATTTGTACATGATACGTGTTTTGTCGTCCCAGATTTGGGACCCTCGACCTTTAGTTTGTTCCAAGGATGTTGACCCCAAATTATAGATCCGGGACCATCGTCCCAAAAGTTGGTTCTTAATCCACATCCCTAACCTGTGGCCCAAAGAGGTTCCTATCGTCCAATGTTTTTAGAAGATGGTATCCGCCTCCATTTCTTGTTCCAGTTCCTCCACCCATCGGTCTAGGTACTTTGGTTAGCTTCAAATGTACATAGGTAATTTGAGAATTAAAAAAATAACATGTGTAAGAAGAACTGTCCTGTTTCAAGACATACCAAAAGATGGTGTATTTGTTTTTCTCAAAACAGAATTTGCATGTGTCACACATGTAAAGTTATTCTGAATAATCACTCATATTATAGTAGAAATATACGACCTCAAAAGACATGTACAGAAATAGGAGTTATTGCAGAAAAGTGCAAGGATACCAACCTTAGATTATGGAATAATTTCTTGAACACCTCTCGTCTGCGCAGTAGCTAGTATGCCAATTTGAGCCGAACTTTCATTTCCATCAAACCTCATAGAAAAATTTGGCATAGACTACATATAGAAAGAATTGACTAACTGTACATTCTCATAAGACTTGATTGTTGTCTTTGTGTGTTAGCATCTGTTTATCACTTCATCCTTATTCCTGTAATCACCAGTATAGTAGACATCAGGAATGAACTTCAAACCATTATTCAGTGATCGGAGGTTCTCTGCCAGATGTAATTTTTTAGCCTTCCAGAGACCATCAAAAAATTCATTCAACAAGGCCTTGTCAGGAGCAATGCACCTCCCCAACATATCCCCCATCACATCAACTGCTCCTTCTAAATCCTTGTTCTTGCAGAAAGAAGATATAACCATCTTATAAGTGGTGTAATTTGGATGGAAGCCACTTTTCTTCATCACATTCAACAGCTGTAGTGCTCTCTCTGAGTTCTGCATCTTGCACCACCCAACAATCAGCGCTGAAAAGGTTGATGCATTCGGTTCAAGCTTAGCCCTGTCAAGCTCCCGAAGCAAGTGCTCTACCTTCTTCATCTTCCCTTCATTGCAAAGCCCAAGAATGAGCGCATTGTATGTCACGATATCAAGCTCCACTCGGTTCTTCACCATCTCCTCATGAACCCTACCCGCCATGGCATTATCACCAAGCGCCACGTACCCATGAATCAGCGTGTTATACGTGACCGTGTTGGGCATAACCCCCTTCACCCTCATCTCGCTCAGCACCTGGTTCGCCTTTCCCATCCTCCCCTCCTTGCACAGCCCATGGATGATCGTGTCGTACGTCACCACGTCAGGCACCAACCCCTCCTGCTCCATCTTCATCTTCAGCTGCAGCGCAGGCCCTGCGTCAACACCATCCCTGCAGTAAGCCGCGATCAGCGTGTTGAAACTGACCGTTGTCCTTCCAACGCCCCACTCCGGCATTTTGTCGAGCACCTCGGCCGCATCCGCGGTCCGCCCAAGATCGCAGAACGCCCGCAGCACCATGTTCGCCGTGTAGATGTTCGGCGAGATCCTACACCGCCGCATCTCCCGGAAGAATGACAGGGCGATCTCGGGGCGCCTGAGGCCGAGCGCGGCGGAGATGAAGACGTTGCAGGACACGACGCGGGGGAGCAGGCCGTGGGCGCGCATGGCGCGGAACGCGAGCGTGGCCAGGGAGAGCTTCTTCCCCCGCGCGCAGACGGAGAAGAGCACGTCGAGAGCCGGGACGGCGCCGCCATCGGGGCGGGCGGCGGTGAGGCGGGCGGTGAGGAGGACGTGGTGGAGGAGGTCCGGGAAGGCGTGGTGCGGGATGGAAGGGAGCAGGGAGGCGAGGAGGGCGGAGGAGCGGCGCGGGCGGAGGGAGTGGAGGAGGAGCGCGAAGGGGAGCGGCGGCGGCGGCGACGGGAGGAGGGAGGCGAGGAGGAGGTGGCCGCTGTCGTCGTGGCGGGGCGGGGGCGGGGGCGCGAGGATGAGGTGGGAGAGGCGGAGCGGGGTGAGGTGGGGGAGGAAGCGGGAGAGGGAGGCGGCGGTCGTCGTCGGCGGCGGCGGCGCGGTGGAGAGGTGGGCGCGGAGGGCGGTCACGAAGAGGAGGTCCTCGCCGGCGAGCGGCGGGAGGGTGAAGTGCGGCAGCGGCAGCGCGCGCGGCGGCGGCGGCGGCATCGGCGACGGGGACGGACCGGAGGCGAGGCGAGGCGAGGGTTCGCGCGGCCGCTCGCCGTCGCCGGCGGCGAGGTGGGGAGGCAGGCGGGCCACGCGGCGGCGAGTAGGCAACTCGACGAAATCCGTGGGCGCCTTGGAGTCCACCTCGGTGATCACGCTTTTCCTTTTTTTTAAAAAAAAATGTAGGTTACTTGTCTTGGAAAATGCGATAGTATTTGAAGTTTTATTTAAAAGGTGCTGTGTGTGAAAAAATAAACGTATCTCAAAGTTTTGAAATCATTGCAAAAGTTCGATTGCTGAAGAAAAACAACATGTGAAATATCACTTGATTAAATTGAATACTCGCTCACAACCAGTGACGAAGCACACTTAAAATTTTAGGTGGGACAAATACGTTGAACGCTTGCCGCTAGACCATGGCTGATGAGCGGTCACCATGATGCTAAGGATCATCACTAGGAGCTGTTTGGTTAGACCGTTTTTGGCCCGCATCAGATCCATCGTGAATATATTACGTTACACATGTTTGTTTCAGATGGATCGTAATTAAATAGCCCGCAAACGAATTCCGGCCCAATACAACGCTGATTACACTCCTCGACGGGTGGAGAGCGATACAAATACGGAGCGTAACCTAACTCTCCTCACGTGCCTCCTCCAGATCGAGCGCCGCCGCCGCTTCTCCTTCACACCGCGCGCGTCGCCGGCGCCGCCCCCTCGCCCCGCGTGCGTCCCCACACCTCCCCATCGTCCCACACGTCGCTGGCGCCGCACCCTCCCCTCGCGCGCATCGCCGATGCCACCGTCTTGCGCTCCTCCACCGCTTGCCCAGGTCGGCGCGCCAGTGCTTCTCACCTCCAGGAGTTCTGTCTCTAGTCCCTCCTGCCCCATCCAATGTGCGCCACCACCTTCCCCAACTTCCACCTCCTGGGCGACTGGATCTTGACCAGAAGAACTCCGAGAACAAGGGCGAGGCCGTGAAGCAGGGGGGCAGTCGGAGATTCTGGTGCCATCAACCACATCTGACTTCCATCGTTGCCGCTGTCTATCGATCACCTCGCCGGTGAGAACCCTCCCCATATTGAAATCACCGCTCTTTATAATTGTGAATGCTGGTGAGTGATGATCCTGTGGTAATCTTTTCATTAACAAATCATGAAGTAGCTTATACTAGTGAATTTCATGTATTAATCCTGCCTCATATATGTTTTCTTCATAAGTTCACATGGGTTATGTAGAATATATTTTCCCGGATTGCAGGAAAGTTGAATATTACAGTACAATGGTTCTTTAATTTTTTGAGTGTACGGAAGTTGGACCAACTCATTTTTACTATTTAGATTTTGAGAATTTTGATTTCTTTTACTGCCAGGTTTTGTGTAAGGTACATATTTTTTTTAGTGTAGGGAAGTTGGACCAACTCATTTTTACATATATCATTTTCCACAACGTAAGATCGGGAAAAAAAAGTTTTGTGTAAAACAACATATACATGGGTTCTAGTGAATTTGTTAGGTTTAGCAATAAAAAAATAATATGTACTGTGTTTATTTTAGAGGTAGCTTGATGTATTATGCGTGCTAGCAGGATATATTCTGGACATAGGGTTAACGCTTTTGTTTTATATATTTGTAGAGTGCAATGGCTCGTCTTCTCTTAAGTACCAAAACGCGAAGAAGAAATTTAGGGCTTAGAAATATGATGATTGCTGTCATATTTATGTATTATTATGTTGCTATATTGTTTTTGATTTCATATAAGAGAAAATGCTGGAAAATAGAGAGGAGGATCAGAATTAGAGAACTTAGGAGTGAAAGACTATTCCAGCTTATTCGTGAAAGTGGTATTGCTTATATAAGCAAGCTCCGAATGTACTGGAGGACATTTCACATTTTAAGGACCAAATATTTTTAATTAGCTATTTTCCTCAAGAAAAGGGACACTGACAGATATGTCCGCAGTCAGGCCTTAGCTTTCTTCGCATTCCAACTAATGTGAGTTTGCATAAGAAAAATAATACTACTACAGTGCCTACAGTTGGAATGATCACATAGCTATATTCACAATGCATTTGTGCTTGCATGACCATGGCATCTTATAATCTTTTATTCCTAGTATAGTAGTATGCTGCCCCAGCTAGTTAGCAAAGCTGATTTCTTGAAGTGCTGTAGTTTTTACTTTTGAAGTTAAAAATGCTACCTTGTTCTGAGTATCATATGGCTTGTATGTGTAAGAATATTCTTTTTTTTTAACATTGTGTAAGAATATTCTTAACTTGGTATTATGCTGAGTGTTATATATTCTTTCATCTGACCTTTCACTAATTTGTCAAAATTTTCATTACCAGATGAGGCAAAGAAAAACTGATGTGCTGAGGCAAATGATCTACAGGATTGGAGATCATCCTATGTCCTAAACATGCTTATTTCCAGTACTTTGGCTTTTATTTGCTGAATCATGACAATGTACATATTATGTGACCAATCAAGTATGGTCCTGTTTTTCAAATAAAAGTATTGCTCCTATCTTATTTGTTTACTACTCTGATAGTTTCGGTCTTCTCAATTGTTCATCCAATCCTTTATTAATTGTATTTTGAAGGTGTACCATCGATTAAATTAAGCAAAACATAGCCTCCTGTCTTAATTCTGTCAACATTTGCATATTCTGTAAACAGGAGGTGATAGTGTTATGCATATTATGTACTTGCTTGTTGTGTACTCAGTATTTGAATTCTCAATGGTAATGTTTTGCTTAGCGCATCTGTTACCTGGCCGCGCATCCAAACAGCGTGAACGATTTCGTTGTCGTTACAGCAGCAAACCAAACATAATCTGATACAATGGTATCAGTTGCCACCGGAACCATTTCCATTAACGTTTACGTTTGCATTCTCGAACAAACACTACCTTAGGTGAAAGATAAAAAGTAAGGCCTTCTATTTTTTTTAAATGATAAACATACATTTTACTTCAATATATATACATGCACAAAAATTACATGAATTTCACGTGACCAATGACAACTGGAGCTATACCAAAGAAATTCACTGGCTGACGATGATGTTAAAACGATCTGACTAGGTAGGAAGTTGGAAGAAGAATCATGTCGTAATGCAGTGTTCTAGTTTTTCTTACTAAGTGGAAAAATAAAACTTTACTTGTCTGGTACGGACGTTCACATTGTCGTCATGAGTTTTAGTTTTTTGGGTGGTTATAATTATCATGGAACACTTGCTATAGCCGAGAAAAACAAAGCTCATTTCAGCTGAATAAGTGAAGGAGAAAATGAAAAATTTTAAAAATAGAACGAGAAGATTATATGCAACATATTAAAAGACAAATTTTGCTACAGGACATTAAAAAATTATGTAATTTGTTGGTAGACATCGTAAAAACGTGTCACGGCTAAAAGACACTTAAAAAACTGGTAATTTGCTGGAGGACACTTTTGGCTCAATTAGAGAGAGAAATTGTTCAAAAAGACAAGAATGCCCCTAGGGTCAAAAGCCTTTGGGTTGAGACGGAGCGATGATGCAATATAATGTATGCTAGTGATGTATTTGGGGTGATGGCAAATTTAGAGTTACATGCTTTCTAAAATTTTACTCTAACATCATGTTTCAAGTATGTAGCCTTAGGGACATTCTCATCTTTCTTAAGAATTTATCAATCCAATTAAGCCGAAAGTGTCCTCTAGTAAATTATCAGTTTTTTTATTATGTCTTTTAGCTGCGACACAATTACATAAATTTTGGGTATTTTGTAGCAAAATTTGCCATGTTAAAAATACATTTGGCTTTGACTGAACTGTTGTTTTTTAAGGGGGTGTTGGGTTGCCCTATGGGGTGCTCACAACTGCTTTTGTTGTACCCTTAAAAAAAACCTATGAGATCATACTTTGAAATCTTAATATGCTTACATACTTTCTTCCACGTGCATCTTTGACAGTCACTACACTACATATAACTCTATCGTGTAGACCACATGTCATTATGTCAAAGACCTTATTTATATTGAAAGAATTAAGGGTGTGATACTAGGTTTACCAGCTCGCACAAAAGACAATACTGTTTTGTGAAAATTACTCAACACACTTATGAGATCATTTCTAACCACAAATACAATTTTCATTGCTCTGCAACAGCAGACAAATGTATAAACCAAATGATGTTCCTGAAATACACTCATACGTAAACTTAAGTACCAACTCAGTTTCAAAGTTTGAGGCTCAAATGAGCTGGTTTATTCATGCCAAACGTCGCAACCATCTGTAACAGCAACACAATCGGCACGAGAATAGAACACTAGAAGATGAGGATTGCTATGTATTATTTGGATTGGAAAATAAATAAACAATTACTTGATCAAGAATTCCATCGTATCTATATGACATTGGCATGAGGCAGGCCAAGAAAAAAAATGCTAGTAAAAAACATCTAAATACATCACTACAAATGGAACAACATTCCGTGCCTGACTAATCTTTGCATTGCTCTTTATTCTGCTCTTTGCAAGAACTCACACCAAACATCCAGTAGGGCAGAGGCCCAATCATATCCTTGTATGTATATGGTTCTTGAGATGCCATCTCAAAACCTCCCATTTTATGTGCAAAAAACCTCTTCCATTGCATCAATGATAGCCCAATTAAACTTCAGTGTTAGCGTTTGAGTATGATTCTGTTTGGTTCATGCTGGATATCAAAATTCACATTGGTCAACCCAGAAGCTGCCTGAGACCATCAATAACCTGCTCCCTCTTTGAAGGATTCATCTGAACAAGAAATCGAGGAATTAGAATCGACTTATGAGATACATGATGACAGAAATAGAACAGAGAAAAGATCATAGCTTCAGGAAGTGTTTGAAGAAAGCTTACCTTGTTAAGAACAATTGAAAGACCATTTGGCAAAGCTTTCACATCAGGGCTTTCAGCGAGACGCGAGAGCCACTTGGATACTCTTTCAGCCTTCAACTCCTCGAGTTGATTCTCATAGTTTGTTGGATCATCTTTCCAAGCAAAGAAAGCTTCATCGTTATTCCACTTTTCACTGTTTCCATCAGATCCATTGGAAGAAAGGTACCATTTCTTGATATAGTCCAATGCAGATTTCTGGGACAGCTGCTCGCCAGCAGCTTCTCTGATTTCCTTGGCAAGTGCATCTTCAGTAACTCTCCTTCGCAACCTCCTATAGAAAAAGGACCGAGATTCTTCCCAATCGACAACCTTTCCGATCACACCTTTGGCAGCCATTCTAGCAGAGGTGTCATGCAATTCAGCAAACCGTGTAGCAACCTGGGTATATATAGGCATCAGTTGCTTCATCCGAGCAATAATACTCCTCCTAGTGGTGTCCATTTCCGAGAGGCCAGCATTTTCCTTCTTCATTTCTCTCAGCCTTGTACTCAGCTTGATCAACTCCGGGTCAAGCCTTAGCATGCATTCTTCCAGTTCCTTTGGCCTGAATTTGATCTCAACCAATCCTTCTGGTTCAAGGACATTACCTTTTGCAGTTCTCTCAGCATACATCTCAATGTGTTCTGGATTGATTTTGCTATCTACCACAACCCATGCACCTCCCCTAAGCTCTCCGCCCATTGGAATATACACAAAAGCAGGCTGGTTATATGTCCTCAGATTCTCAACAATATTAGAACCAGCCTGAAGGATTCCTTCAAACAGATCCCTTTGCCCACCAGAAAAGCCTCTCCAGTTAGCGAGGATGAACAGCGGAAGCTCTTCACGGTTGAAATCCAGCAATGCCTGGGCTGTTTTGGTGGCAGAATCAGGAAACCACACCTGCCCTGCTTGAGGAACCACACGCTCGGCAGAATCAAGCTGACCTGGATCAGCAGGGATGACTTGCATCATAGTCTGGGTTTCCACAGCTATGACACCAACTGGAATTCCACCAAGCTTTGCTCTTCCGGTGACAACAGTTTTTGCCCAGCCTTCTAATGTCTCCACGAAGCTTTCTCTGTCAAACATACCACCCATCCACTTGCCTTGACTGTCCTGCACACCGCAGATAGCTGCACGAGCATCACATGAATTCTCAGGGAAGTATGTTACAGGTCTATCCGGTGGGTCAAGAGGCTTCATGATAGGAAGAGGACCACCAACATAAGGAGGAACATAGCTGAGCCATTTCAAGATTGCAGAAACACCTTCAAGGTCATCTGACACAGTCAGATGGACGACACCATTTGTAGCCATGATTTTGGGGCCACCTAGTTGCATGTGAGAGCTGTATACCTCCCGCCCCAGAAGCTTATTCAGCGCAGAAAATCCTGTCAAAATAATTGGCTGATCAAGACGCTGTATACACCTCATGCCTAACCGAGCAAGATAAGCACCAATTCCAACAGCTCGTCCAGTTACGAATGTCAGAGTAAAGGTCTCCTTGTATGCTTTAGAATAGGCACTGGCAATGGCACCACTTCCATGCAAGTTCTCACAACCGAGTCCATCCTCTTTTCCAACAATGGTATCAACAACCCATCTAGTTTCTCCACTTTCTAGTTTCAGTTCATGGGCTATAACCGAAGAACTCAGGCGCGAATAATCTTGTTCAGTGAGGTAAATGTAATGAAAACCACGTTCAGGGCTCTCGTCATCAGACCAACCAACATTGAAGCATGCTTTTATTTCCTCAGCTACACCGAGCCTAGCACCAGCAGTTGCTGACAAGTAGATAAGAGGAAGTTTCCTCTCACAAGCAAGATTGGTGACCGCATCAAAGAAAGCATCTTCCCTAGGACCAAATGATCCAGCTTTAAATGTCACATCATTTGAAACAACAATAATCTCCCGGCCACTTGGAAATTCTGGTGTGGAGAGCTTCATGATCCAAGCGACAATGCCAATATCATTGATACCTGGAGAACGCTCAACTGGAACCAAAGGAGTACCCCATGATCCAGTTGAATCAGCAAACATAAGCTCTGTCACTTTAGCATAGCTCTTATTATGCTCATTAGCTTCAGCAACAACAGAGAGGGTTGATTTCCATGACCTCTTCAGTGCTGTTTCAAAAGCCTGTAGACAGAATATAACCAATCACGGTGTTAAGCAAGCTAACCAACGTTGGAGAAAAAGAACAAGAAAATGCAAGTAACTCACCAGCGGGAAGTCATAGCAGTACGTAGTTTCGTTCTTCCTAGCAGAGTAACGTTTGAGGTCAATAGCATCCAATGGCTTGTATGGTTCATCCAACACAATGCCATGCAAAGGACCCAGTGATGGTGTAACAGAGTGGTAGAAAAGTTTATGTGTATTAGAATCCTCCACTTCTCGGTAAATCTGGAGGCCCATAGAAATTGAGCATGAGAGCAAGAAAATGGAATAGATATTTAAATATTTTTCATAAAAAAATAAATCAATAAGCACAGAGAGTAACTCTGGAATTAATGATGAGATTGATGGAGCATTAGCTATGTACTAGCTACAAAAGTTGGAGAACATTTATAATGGTGATCTATGAGTTTCAGCGGCTACCAACTTATGTGCATATAAGAAGTACTATATGATGTAGCACGTTCTTAAGAAGTATTATATGATGTTGCACACCATTGCTGGTACAACAGTGCAATAGCTGGATAACTTACATCGACAGTGCAGGTGTGGCCAGTTACATTGGTAACAACTACTCTCCAAGCACCGCTTGCTTGTCCATCACAATCCAACCATAACTTCACTTCCCACTGACACACAGAAAGGCGATGCATCCTCACCCCAACATGTTCATATATATTCAAAGCCATATTCTTCAAAAGCGTACATGCAGTTGCTTCATCTTGACCAACATTATCAATCGTTCTATCACAATGAGAAAGCATGAATGAAGTGAACAACTATAAAAAAGTTTTAATGCAATGTATTTTTACCAGCAAGATTTCTCTTGAAAGAAAGATGTTTTGACTGACCTTGAAAATGGTATAAGATCAAACAACTGTTGTACTCTCAATATGCACAGATACATGTGTGAATAGCTTGACCTCACTGTCTCATTATGTGCATGTAGCTCTATTTCTTCTAGTGCTGCCATCAGTGATCTGAGTATACTACTTGATGTGTATGATGATGAAGCCTGAGCACGGCCTACTTCATTGTCAACATTTCCTGACAAAAACCCATTGGTCACACCTGGTTGCCTTACTATGGTACGAAGGAACAACCTCTGGTCATTTGATCTCTGATCTTTCTTGTTCTTGATGAGTGTGTAAATATGCCACTGGCGATCGCGTGATGGAGTGTACTTTACTTCATTGTAACCATCCAAATTCACCTTGTTCTGTATTTACAGAGAAGTTGTCAGAGATTTTGGTACGGGAAAGAGAACTTGACGATTTCTCTCAAGGAAAAATGAATGTGGCAACATACCAACTCAAGGAATGTAGATAGAGGAGGTTCAACATGGCGGAGCATCGGATCCTCTTCATAATATATCTTATCAACTGACCATTGGAAGGAGTGACGCATCGGTGGGCGCCCTTCATCCCTTTGGATAATGCAGCTGACTACCCTAACGCCAGCACCATTGAGATGTGATGTTACAGTACTATCCTTCAAAATTTTTGAAATTTTGTTGATCCTTTCTTGAGCCTGGTCCTCATCACCACTGCAATGAGAAGATAGTGTGGAAGAGGTAAATAAAAAAATACATGAAATTCTCTAATAGTTCACAGAATCACTATTGTGATACACATTACTTTTGTCTTTTCATCAACAAGAATAGGTAATCTAAGGAGAGTATAGGAACCTGTCTTGAAGAGTGCTCATCTGATTGTTGATACCAACCAAAGCAATATGCAGCATATTGCCATGGCTGGAACTTGCAGAATTGCCATTCGAGACATTTCCAGCACCTGCTTTGTAGTGTGAAGTCTCCTTCAATGCAGCATCAATAGCACTAGATAAATACTGGAGAGACTTGATTACAACCATGACACCCCATCTTTTCTCTTCGGGGTCCTCAACTTGCTGCTTTAGAGACATCGCATCTTGTCCATTTCTTTGCTTAATATGCTCTTCCGAGAATTCCCATAAAGCAATTAGACCAGATCTATGCCACTGCATCCGAACACTGCCCTTGACCAGATAAGGCTGAAAAAATGATTGTGAATTAGCCGACATAAATTTAAAGAGTGCAGAGGTATAAAAAACAAGAGTTATTTAGTTCAATAACTAAGTGATACCTGATACAATCTACGTATGTATGTCTCGACCACTCTCCGCTGAAGTGTAGGATCACTGTGATCAAACAAAGCCACAAGGGCATCTTCAACTGCAAGTGGGGCACCCACTAAATCTTCCATCCTCTCATTAATGGCCATCTTTCTCCTGGGTGTTGACACCCGCTCTCCTTCTTCAGTAAACATCTCCAGCTCTGAGAGGCTTCTTGCTATGCTTGTGCGGAGTTCACTCAATTTAGTATGCTCAAGAAGCTGGCTTGCTTTAAGTGCCAACTGCAACGTAAAAAATGTATCATTCTCTGGACTATAACATGTGTACTGAATAGACGGAATTAAGATCATTATAATTCTGCATTGCTACCTCAGAGTACACTGTGTTGTTCAGCCCAGAGAAACGAATCAACTGGTCTCTGTAAGCAGATGGATTTGGATAGACTAATGCTTCCATAAGCCGTAGTATGAGTTTATTTTTGGTCCGCACACCCTTTAAATGAACAAAATAGTCAGCCACCTGATCCCTTGTGTACCAATATGCAGTAAAGCAAAAGATCACACCATATGGATATTACATCATTACCTGGTGGGAGAAAACAATGTATACGACCTTCTCGAGGTCTTTGGCATGTTGAAGTCGTAGACGTTCTATCACATCAGACTGAAGAGATAAAAACGAAAATGCTTACTGTTCAGCTACGAGTGAGCAACTGAGCATTGCACAATTCTTACTCTAAATTGTTACCTGAATATTGTCACTGAAGAGTTCCTCAACAGACAGGTACTCCTCAAATAGAGACTTGACAACAACACGAGCGTGGCTTTCTCTCCCACCCTCGTATGATTTGACCAGGCTCATAAGTGGCTCAACAAGCCTCTCATTAGTAACTCTATCTTTTTCAGAACAGTATGCAAGATTTGCCTGGAATAATGTTTTTTGGGGTAAGGAAACAACATAAATAAATAACCATAAAAGAATTGAAGCAAATAGCAGCCTCAAACTGACCTCTATAATTCCCCTTAGTAACTTGGCAGGAAAATCCTTGTTCTTCCGAAAATCAGAGTTCAACTCATACTCCTTGTACTTGCCATCCAACTGAGTACATGCAGATGAATTAGAACTTCCAATATGCAGCCAAAATGAAAGATAAGATGAATAGACAAGATGGAATATGACATAAACAATTTAACTTAAACACTTAATCACCTCATTCCTGAGATCTTTCGGAAGCCGAGTTGCCAAAACAGACATAAGTTCTTGCCACTGTAGAAAAGGAAGCTCAGGGCTATCTAAGCAGTTTAACAAATCTTGTACAACCTGGAAAGAAAAGAAATAGTTAGGAAGATAGAATAGTCAGTAACAAAATATAAAAAATAGTTTTTTTTCTTTGTAAACAAGAATACTGGCAACAAGATACAGAAGGAAAATAGAAAATTGAGAGTACGTATTCTGACAGTTCGTAAAGTCATACTTCATTGATATTATGTTCATATCCTGCAAGGATCATGTGTGCGGAATTGACACTTGCAGCAAACTTTTGGTGAACTTTTCCAGAAACAGCAGTTGGAGGTCCCAGTTTTGGAAAGGTGCCATGGAATGGTTCAGCTCTCCTCACAGAAGAGGGGTCATCAAGGTCCAACCTTGCTATCAGGTCAGCCGCCTGCAAAAGAATAGACATTTTAGTTACCTTGTAAAAGATGTATGCAAATAAGATGCATACAAATAATAACAGGGTGAAATAGAGGTATAGAACCTGCATGGCTTGACCCTCAGGCATGACAAAATGAATAACACCAGAAGCTGGTAGTAACAGCGGCATACACATCTTCATGACCTCAACCTCAGCATATGGTGTATCAGCATCTACATGAGAGCCATCCGCAACCAAGAACCGAAGAAGTTTGCAAGGTGTATCAGCCAACAATTTGGAAGGATCATGCTCTTTCTGTAAAGTACCATTAAGAGAAATAAATTGAAGTTCAGTATTTTTTTTAGACGTGCAATCAAATCAGAGCTGAAATAATCCCCACACATTAATCCTTCCATTGAAGTTTCCATAGTGATAATGTATCTCTTTTATCTTTTTAAAAACAAAGATCATATGAAACTGTCAAGATAAGGAGTGATTGAAGATGCCAAGCAGTGTACTTCAATCAAAGAAAAAACTTGTTGCATCATATTTTCCAAATTCCGAAGAAATTAATCAGATCAAGCTTCATATAAATAATATAAGGATAGACTCAATCAGGCATTACCCTTTTTTTATGGCCTCTACAAGATCTTATGGTAACATATTTTTTAAGATCCTGTAGTATAACTTTTGCACATCCCTTAAGGGGAAAAACAAAGATAAGTTTTATAGTTTGATAGCAACAGAAAGGAATATGAACATAGCTATATTCACCTGTAATAAGCATGTTCTCCCATTGATGAGAAGGCGTGTACCAGCAGCTTCTGTCTCCGCATAAATTACATGACTGTTTCCATCCAACTGAAGAATTTACAGTTACAGACGGATCAGATCCTTTTTCAACTAAAAATATAATACTAGCATATCATCTTTCTATAAAAAAGTTTATAGTGATATATATTTACTTGCATCAAGAGTCCTCCATCTCGCAACGAGTGTATCTCTGCTTCAATCTCTGACCCATTCATTCTTAATGTGTAGCTACGGGGCCCACGTCTTACTGTCTCAATCTACAGCAATAATTAATCATGAAAACTGTAATTAAAACACTAGATATATCAGATACTACTGCAGGATAAGATTTAAAGAGAAGAAAAATTACCGTGTATTTGCTTCCCTCAATATTTAGGGTAACAGTCAAATTAACAAGAGAGATGTGCTGAAAAGGGAAAATAATTAAACAGGTGCCATGCTGTTTTGTTCAAAATGGAATGAGCTTATCTGCAGTAAGGGCATGCTGCATCATTCATTATACAATATGGTACCTTTGGTGGTATTTGACCTTTGCTGAGATAACCAACATAATCTGTAACAACGCTTGAGCTCCTGCTTGATGCTTCCTGCAACATAAGAAAACAAGTTGGTATTGACATCTGATTTAGAAGCTACCTTCTACCATATCATTGTTCTGAAGTTAATCAAAGCATACATATAGAGCTCCTCCAACAACTGAAAGGTACCATGGGGGCCTCTCAGCTCTAACACGCATAGCAATTCTGCTGTCTAGCCAACCAGTGTGGATCTTATTTTCCCGATATTCTGCAGCCTGAAAATATGAAAATGGCATATATTAGGAAAATAAAAGAATAACTGTACCATTTACTTCAATGGAGTTATCTTACATTCAAGAGATCCACTGTGTAATCAACATTAGTGCGTATCTCTCCACGGATTTGGATCTCTTTTAACCCAAGCACCATATTTGCTATTGCCAACGATCTAGATTCCCCGAATGCAAACACATGTCCTGGAAGACAATGATACTCCATTAAAAAAGGCACTAAGAGATACCAAGAGAAAACAGAAAAGTATGTGTATCACATACCAAATTGAGAATCTGAAAATTCATGAATTGCTCCCCCAGACTGAAAATTAGTAAAGAAAATTGAGGTTAGCTAGTCTCGCAGCAAGGTAAGAAAAGAAACCAAAAAACCAGAAAAAGAGAAGTAATAATAAGTGCATCAGTTTCAAAAGAAGCATTATGGATGGATGTATACTTGCCTTAACGGAGAAATAGGCCCAAACATTTGGTTTGCTTTTAAAGTTTAGCTCCTCAACTCTTCCACTAGTAGGCTTAAATCCATCATCTGGATCCTCACTGGTAACTCTGACTGCTACACAGTGACCCTTTGGCTTTACAGACTGTGCATTATCCAAATCAAACTTAGTTGCAACAGCTGATATTTTCCTCCACGCATCGTAACCACCACCATGCTCCATTCCATAAAAGCGTCTGATCTCTGCAATGATCCATTATTTGTCAGTAGGAAAGAAGCAGCAAATTTCACCAACAATCAAGTTACTTGTGAAATTGACATACCAGGAATATTGTAGAGCGGCACACCCATTCCTACAACAACTTGAGCTGCAGGCAAGTTTATTTCAGCTATCCATTCGGTAACAGGGTGTTCTACTTGCAACCGTGGATTAAGCTCCAGAAAATAGTATTCTCCTGTTTCCATGCTGTACAAATATTCTACTGTAGCAGCACCCACATAATGCACACATTTAGCAAGCCGCCTTGCTGCTTGCTCAAGCTCTTTAACTGTCTCTGAAGGAGCAACTGTAATTGGCCCCTCCTCAATAATCTGTTGCAGAGATATATGGTGAGTACAACTGTTTCATAAATCCCAAAGATTTTGGTAATGCAAGGCATCCGTTTTCTTTTTGGTCTTGCACTAGTCAAAATATGTCATTTTTTCTTGTTGAAAATAGTACAGCTGCAATACATATATCATTGTAGGAAAAGGTGTAATATTCAAGTTAAGATGTAATATTCAACCGATAATACTTCACTACCTGCTATTAATGCATGCCCCAGTTAAAATTATTAGCCAACGAATAAGATTTGTATAGTTCCTGTCACATTTTGCTAAACAGTATATGACTAACATAAAACATTTCCAATGAAGTTATATTTGAAGAAAGCTATAAAATCTCAACTACTACTCAAAACACCAATCCACAATGGACTGATTCCAAGAAAATTTATATTGAAAAATCCAATGCTTCAAAAAAGAAAAAAAAAATCCTAACCTTTTGGTGCCTTCTTTGAACACTACAGTCTCGACTGTGCAGAGCTGCCACATTGCCATGTTTGTCACAGAGCAACTGAACCTCTAGATGTCGGCTCTGTAAAGAAAGAATTAATACAAGCTTTAGACGTGAAATATATGAATGCAGAATAACCCCTGCATATGAGCAACAAATGTTGTCCAATGTCATTTCTATAACCCCTTAACAGGCATCTATATATGGATAGCATGTTAAATGGTGGATACAAATGCACAACAGAACAAATAAAGGAAAAGCAATGTGCTCCAAGTTGTTCTCACCTGAGATGCCACCTTCATAATAAATATAGGTGAGCCAGGGACTTCTCCCTGAACTTGCTTAAACAGTGCTCTCACCTCATCATCATTATGTACCTACAAATCCATTAAGATAACATCAAAACCATCTTCCGTTATTCATTTCTTTATGTGCAGTTGATATTTGCTTATCATTCTGATAGTGTTGAACTAAAAGAAAACCAACCTTCCTTATTCCTTTACCACCACCACCCCATGATGCCTTGATCATAGCAGGATATCCCACCACCTGACAACTAGCTACTGCTTCCTCTGTAGTGGAGACACAGGCACTCCTGTACATCTCCTCAGGTATCGAATTGCAGCTTTCTGGTGGAATTTTCACCTGCAAAAGATTTTTGGTTTGATTATCAACTATCTATCAGCAGAGAGAGGAATAAAAGATAAAAGGTATCCAGGAAAAGGGGAAGGCATACATGTGATCCACTCCATGGAAGAGTTGGAACTCCTGCTGCTTGTGCAATAAGAGATGAACCAATCTTATCACCTAGCGCTGCCATCGCGGCTGATGGTGGCCCAAGAAAAATTATTCCTTTCTCCTTCAGTGCGTCCGGAAGTTCAGGATTCTCAGATGCATGACCCCAGCCAGGCCAAACTGCAGAAACATGTGTTCTCTCTGCTATCTGTGACAGGTAAGATTACACAATATTAACAACCAATTACCTACGGCAAATCAATCCACTGGTAAGATGAAAAAGGCTACGATGATGATCAATTGTGCTAACCTCCACTATGAGCTGTACATTCGCATAATTGTTATTATTTGTACCACCAGGAACTTCTACGAATTGGTCGGCGATCCTTATGTGCTCCGCGTTTATCTTCAAGTCCTCGGGAGTTGCCATGGCGACCAAAAGAATCGCCTTCTCCGTCCCAAAGGTCTCCAGCGCCCATGTACGGATGCTGCGCATGAACTTGACAGCGGCCATGCCATTGTTGGCAACCAGCACACTGTGTATCGGTGAATCACCACCGAGCGCTTTGCAGAACTCATCGACCTCAGAGGGTGACGACGGATGCCTCGAATTAGACATCCCGTTCAGTATGCCATTCATTTGGTAAGATCCCTCCATTATTAACCACCTCTAACCTTCAGACCTGCTGCGAAAAAGAAACCGAACAAATCATCAGCACATCAAATTCTGACAAACGAAACGGTGTAAACGAAAACCGGCAATTTACCACTACTCCCATTTACCATCAGTACCAAATGTAAAATTCGCATAAGCGCTAGTACAATTTATCCTCGAATTCCATGGCGGCTCAGTTTTGCAGCAAAAGTTTTTGACCGCAACAGTAAATAATAAACCAAGAGCCAGCAGAATTAGAACAGCAAGACCCACAGACTGTGAATTTCCATTTCCCCTTGTAATTAACCAGGTGGATATATATATATTTATATAGGTTGACTGTGTGATCACACAAAAGTCCAAAGCAAAAGGCTAAGCTACATCAATCTTAGTGGCTAGTCGAGACACGGAAGATTAGTAAATTACGAAATAAGCACTGAACGAGGGACCCCCAGAGCTCTAGCATGCCAAGAAACAAAAACGAACAAGAATCTGACAGGCTGAAACGAAGCTAGAGAAGACGAAGAAGAAGGAGGAGAAAAAGGTAAGAGCTTTAGGCTTTTAGCCCGCCAGCTCTGCTCCCCCCCCCCCCCTAGCAAAGCAGGATCAGCTACGATCTCACCTCGCCCGATCCCGCGCTGCAGCTCAACAGAAAAGGGAAAAAAAATCGCGGCTCTTAGAGCTGGGATTTTAGATTCGGCGCGTGTGCGAGAATCCGAAGGCCGTAGCGTCCTCGATTCCGGCGGCGGAATTCGAGCGCAAGAAGCAGGGAGGAGGAGGAAGAAGCAAGAACAGACAGAGAGAAAAAAGAAGAAGAAGAAGAAGAGAAACGTACGCACGAGACGCCGGCGCGCGCGCTCTGCTCGCCACCCGTTCGACGGAATGCCGCCGCCGCGGCGCGCCACGGCCAGATCAAGATCCAGCGCCGAGGGCCAACCTCCCTCCTCCTCGCCGCACCCACGCGCCTTAAATGCGCCCGCGGCAGCACACAGCTTCCTTCCTTCCCTCTTCTCCACCTCTCTCTCTCTCTCCAACTCGAGGCGGCAGCAGCAGCAAAAGCAGGAGAGGAGGCGTCTTCCCGCTACGCAACGCAGCTGCTGGTGGCGCGGCCTTTTAACTGCCATGGCCGCGGCGACCACCACCACCACCTCGCCATGGGGCCCGCCCAGCCCCGCCCACCCCCAGCCAAGTAGAGAGAGAAGCCGGAATGCGTGAGGAGAGGAGAGAGAGAGGGAAAAAATGGGATTTTTTTGACTGGGAGGTGATGAGGGGGGGAAGGGAGGTTGGGAGTTGGATCAACTAACCACCAACACTCCAACGCTTCTAATCTCCCCCTCTGTTTTTTCTTTTCTCATGAGCAAGTTGGTATTTGTACATATACCCTTCTTTTCTCACAAGAATGTCCTTAGTCCCCGGGTTTATAAAATCGTGCGGTTTATCGCGGTTATCACGTGCGGTAACATTTTCAGTTTTTGAAACCACGGTATAACTCATGGTAAACGCGCGGTTTTCGTGATAACTATACGGTTGCCACGGTAACCACCAAACCGTGTTGTGGTGGTAACTCCATCCCAAATAGTTTGGCAAGTCTTATCTAGGCCCTGCTTTGGGCTTTTTTTTCTTTTTATTTATGTCTCACTAAAAATGTGTATGTATATATATTTAAAAAGCTCCTTCTAATACATTTCTTAAATAACTTATTCTGAAGTATTTGTTAAGTTTATTTCTAAAAAAATTAATGCATCTATAGTAGATAAACCGTGACAATAATCGTTTTGAAAATATGCTACGGAGTATTTTACCAGTAAAATTACAATTGATGTACTTGATGAGTTGTAACTTATTACTCCTTCTATTTTATATTATAAATTGCTTTGATTTTTTTAGTAAAATTTCTTTAAATTTTATCGAGTTTATAGAAAATATAGTAAACTTTTTAACGCAAAAAATATATTATTAAAAATACATTTAATGTTTGATTTAATAAAATTATTTTCAATGTTTCTATATTTTTTAAAAAAAATTGGTCAAATTTAAAATATTTTTTTTCTATTAGCAGGAATTATAAACTTAAAAAAGTGACTTATAATATGATTATAAAACTTAGGGAAACTCCCACCATCCTATTTTAAGTGTAGTTATACGTTTCTGTGTACATTTGACCATCCGTCTTATTTGAAATTTTTCTGTGTTTAATATTTTTATTGTTATTAAATGATAAAATATGAATAGTACTTTATGTATAACTTATTTTATTTTATTTTTTATAATTTTTTAAATAAAATATATGGTCAAATGGAGGGAGTAGCTAGCAAATCATCCACACTCTCCTGTCGTTGGCGTCTCGTAGTAGCTACAGCTGCACAGTGGTAGCCAACTTATCCAAGGTATTCAAGGAAGTGGGTGTACATCTTCTTGCTCCAAGTTTAGGTCCTGCATTTTTAGCTAGGTACAATTATTGCAAATCTCATCAGCTTATTAGTCACAACCAAATCTTAAAATTTAAAACTTAAGTTGATTTTAATATTATTTTATCGTAATTTATTTTTCAGCATTAGATTTTAAATCGCTAAAATCACACACACACACACACACACATATATATATATATATATATAAGATTTGAGTATAAATTATTTTTTATCACTACTAAATGTTACGGCTTATGATCAATTATTGTAGGCGAAACGACATGGTTCTTGGATTCTTTTGTGATTAATGAGAAGATATATAATGTATTTTTTTTAGGACGAAGATAATGTATTAATGTTACTCCTATATGTTTGGATCCTTAATGCTCCATATTTTCGCTAGTTTGGAGAAAGAATTAAACGACGGCATTTCACTCATTAGACTTTTCTTATTTCACAGAGGATTGAACCATTTGGAGCCAAGAGCACTGTGTGATGAGTGATGACTGTTGACATTTAATTTGTTCTGCTAGGCAGTACCCCGAATTTGACAGCCTATAGAATTATGCAAGTCGTCTGAAGAATTGGAAAAAAGAGAGATTGCAGTAACAAACTTTGCAACCTAAGTACACCAATTCAAAATTGCCCATGAACATATATAATTCTAAGGAACTATGGAAGCCGTTAATAAACTAGCTGGTGTTGCAGAAAGAAAAAAAAGGAAGGTAGGTTATAGGTGCATAAGGGCACCAACAATAGTTATCTATAGGCTCTCTATAAGAGATCTATGTCAGTATATTTTTTTATTTGGAAGATATTAAATGAAGAGAGAGAGCAAAGCTATCTACTAATTTAGAAATAGTCTATAGAGAAAAACGAGGCAAGGCATGAGAGAGCTATAGACACCTATGTAGACATACTATTGAGGTGGTTTACTATTAATCTAGTCTATTGCTGAGATGTACATGTTTTATAGAAAGCACATTACTTTACCATTACGGGTGCTCTAAGAGGAAGTGTCGTTAGAAAAGCGCAATAGCTTTTGGAGACTTGAGACAGATGATACCGGTATATGACCATGCGAAAACGACTGTTAACCAACTACACTTCAAGTTCTGGTTTTTAAAAATGTTTAGGTTTCTATTTTTTAATTAAATTAATGTTTAGGTTAACCGGCAGCAAAAAGAACAAACGGAACTTAGCATGCCAAGTGTTATTTGTTTGTGTGTGTGTTAAAAAATGCATACGCAACCTGTATTATTGAAGCCAATTAGTATCATAGAATTACAAGTTTAGATGTAATTTTGTTGCTTTAATTTGTGATAAAAGTAATAATAATTATTTTTTTCAATATGCTTAATTAATTTATTATTGTTTTGATAAATTATGTGTTAAGTCCATAGTTTTGTGATATTTTTATCAAATTACCTACTAAAACTGTAAAACTCAAGAGATACCAGTAAATACAACAAATTAATGTCAAAAGGTATTCCATATTATACCCCCTACATATCTCCTCAAGACTAGAAAATACATTATTTTCAAATAGCCTTTTCTGGTTCAACATCAGTTAATCTCTTCCTCACAAGCATTTTACACGTGACACAAACTAATGAATACTCCTACAGATTAATCTCTTCCTCGCTTAGCTTTTTCACTTCAACCCTTCCTCCTCAGCATTTTACACATGAGAACCAAATGCAAGAATCACATGTAGTGCATCTAGACATTATCAACATTTGTAAAACATGCATGAATCCGAGCAACTATACGGGCCTAAGCTGCTTGGTTCCCTAATTTTCCATTTTGTTTTTTTAAATGCCATAGAAATTAATTTGAAGATTAGCTAAGAGTACATTAGCTTATCATACAGACATGATAAATTTCTGGCTCCGCGCCCTTGATGATCCAACACCTCTCTAGGCCAGGCCACATACGAAATATCAAAAAACCGGAGGGCCTCTCCTAAAAAACCAGCAGCATAGCCTACAACCATGTGGGCCATGCCGCAAATTAGTAGATAATAATGATCATTAGCAGGCCACTAACCAAAATCCCTGAAACATGATAGTAGAAGTAGTAGGATAGTAGTAGTGAGGAGCAAACACAACACGCGATGCACACGCCGGATGGTTATAGGAACCCAATCAGCTGGCCTAATAAGTTAAAATTTAAAGTTTCGAATTTTAAAGTTTATTTTAAGACATTTTGAATATTATTTATTTTTAGTGTTGGTTTTTAAGCCACAACGAACAAATATATAAAAAATTTATCTATAAATTAATTTTTATTTTCTATTACCTCCGTCCTAAAATAAGTGCAGCCATATATATCCGTGTTGACCATTCGTCTTATTTGAAAAATTTATGAAAAATATTAAAAAAATAGTCACACATAAAGTACTATTCATGTTATATCATCTAATAACAATAAAAATACTAATCATAATATTTTTTTAAATAAGACGAACGGTTAAACGTTGAACATGAACAATGCTAAAACTGCACTTATTTTAGAATGGCGGGAGTAATAAATCAAATGATTTACGAGGGAATACGGAGAACCGACTAGGCTCGTGGAATGAGACGGCAGAGAGAGGGGGTCATTGATGAGAGGCAGCTGGTAGCTGAGGGATGCTTGGCAGCTTTGGGTTGGGAGGACCGGATTTATTTCCCCTTGGAGACGAGTAGTTGGGCTTCATGACTCTGGATCGTGTGGGTCCCACATGCCTTTGGTGTCTAGAATCAAGTATTGTTAATGTTTGATCATTCGTCTTATTCAAAAAATTTTGGAATTATTATTTATTTTATTTGTCATTTGCTTTATTATCAAAAAATACTTTAAATATGGCTTATCTTTTTTTATATTTGCACTAATTTTTTAAATAAAACGAATGGTCAAACGTTGCAAATAAAAGTTAAAAAGTCACCTATTATGGGATGGAGGGAGTACTAGGGAGTATATTCTCTCCCTGGATTAATGCCAAACTTATGAATTTTGTGGGAATTTTGTAAATTGGGAGAGGTTTCGTGTGTTCAACCGCTAATATACGTGAGAGCGTAGCGTAGTTGAATGAGTATCGTGCGCTCTTTTTTTCTTTCCAATTATCTACTTTTATTACAACAAAATATAGAGAGTATTATTGTATTAGGGCGAATCCACCACCTAGTTACTTTAGATTGGGCTCGTACGCTGATATAATTTTGGTGGTATTTAGAGATTAAAAACATTAATTTATTTAAAAAAAACCATAGTACAATCATGTGCACTCACAACGTGTGTATACTTACCCCTATGAACGCACACACGTACGCCTTACATCTATGAGCATCAATTAGCCGTAAATACGAGCTTGAACCCAGATGGGTTGGTTCAATTTCACCACAAGTAACCTAATCAATTGAGCTACGCTCACTTCACTTAAAAACATTATTTTTTTTAGCAAATTCTAAGCATGGTTAGATCTGTTCAGGCTCTAAAAACCTTTTGGCTCTGCCCCACTAGGGACTATTCTCATGGGTTCTGGATCTATGAAGCATAACTGTTTTGGAATGAAGCTGGGTACTTGAAGCATAGGTGTTGCTATCAAAAGTTTATGGCCTTTCATGCTATCCTCCAACAAGGATGTTAATTACGGAGGGGTGCCTCTCAACTGTTCATCAATTGTGATGGTTAGGACTTAATTAAACCCCTCCCACATGTTTTTTACTTTGACTTGCAACTAATTGAATAATCATTTGGTTGAGAGGAAA